CATTACACCTATCTAAGCACAACTCTATTAAAACTCATTTGAACACATACAAACCTACCAGACTCCATCTGAAACATTCTAGTAGAAGATACAAGCATAATAACCTCATCAATATGTAAAAAAAGATTAAAAAATGATAAAAAAGAAAAAGCCAACACCCAATAATATTAACTAAGAACATGGCCACAATGACTGTGTTCAGAAAATAAAACATCCTTATACTCTAGATACATACAGACAAGCCATACATACAGTTAAAAAAAAAATCATCCTTGATAATGGCTAAAAGTATAGCCAAAAGCGCTTGGAATTACAGAATATCTGGGCCGTTTCTACACACACTATGTCCAGAAGAAAACAATTGTTCAAACACAAGAAAAATTAAATAAAAACTTCATCACAGTTCTTTGTCTGTCATCTTTAATGAAACATGTCTAAAAGAGGGATTGCTGCCTAAATACACTATATATATTTATATATATATATATATATATATATAATAGCTGGCCACTTGTATTTGAGGATACCCATCTATTAGGGTGGCTAGCCAATCCCTATTGCAGACACTCTCTCAGGCACATTTGTGTTTGTTCAATATCCACAGCCCACCTGTTTTATATATATATATATATATATATATATATATATATATTCAGGAAGCAGAGTCCATTTGTTTTACTGCTTTCTGATCAGACCTTGGTTTGATGGTCAGTTACCTATCCCTGTTTAACTTGCTGCTAATGCCTCAATTTGATAAAAAAGTAATGAAAAGTCCTTTTTTAATACAAAACATTTCAAGAAATTAACCAGTTTGCTTTATCACAAACCAATACCTACAGTAGTTATAACACATTGAATAAGTTAAAATTTTATAGAAATTCATGAGGTAAAAGTTTTTATCTTATTAACATAGTCATTTATACTATTTCACCTAATATGTAATTGGGTTATAAAGAGATGGTAGAAATTTCTAGGACACATAATGAGGAAAGAGGGCTTGAAGAATTTGATACTTACAAGATATATTGATGGATAGAGTAAAACAAGTTATCTACCTAAAAAGCATGGGAATGTGAGGGATGGAGAAAATACAAACTTTACAAAAGAGCTACAAAAGATAGAAAGTTGTGGAGAGTCATGATCGACCACGTCTTAACTGGAATCGGTACAGAGAAGAATAATTAAATTAATCAATGACTGACAAATAAGATATTCCAGTAAATTAGTAAATTTTGAATTAATAACATAAGATAACATATTTACCATTTTGAAGTTACTTTATATTGGGTAAAATTCAAATAAGTTTCTAAAATATTACTAATTTTTTTATTTTATTTAATCAGTGTCACCCAATGCAAGGCAGTAAAGTCAGTAAGATACAAGGGGTTACAGGGTGTGGAAGAATTAGGAACAGAAATATTAATAATGAGTGGGAAGAGAAAAGAGTAATCAGGGGAACAGTAGATAGTGATTGTCACTTCATTTAAATTTTTGCAGATTAAAGCTGGCTGGAAAGCATGGAGCCAGAAGGGGGTTCCACAAATGACAAGTGTGAGAAAATAAACCGTTAGTATAATGTTCTGCGCAAGAGGCTATCGATACTTGCTAGGCGTCGATTAATGCCTTGCTAGGATGTTAGGATGGTTGTTGATTGTCCCTCCGATGATGGTAGCCTCCTATTCCCTCTTGCTGCTAAGCTGCTGATTAAGATTCACCGGATGTCTGGAGGGGACCTAACTCTTGTGTCTCTATGGGTATATCCCTTCTGTTACTACCTTTTAGTTTTCTTCAGGTGCCTGCAGACTGATAATCATTTGTGAATTCCATTTCCTCATTTTGGTTCTCATAGACATAAGGTTTTGGCCATTGTGACTTCTTTTCTTTTTCATCTACCCACTTATTTGATAACCATTTGAGAATTAAATATGTTCATATTTCAATTTTCACATCTTGGTTGTTATCATTAAAATATTTGGGCCATGTTATCTTCTATTCTTTCTATTGTTAACAAGTAAAGCACACCTGAAAAGATATACAGGGTAAAGATGAGCACTCTTATCCCAATCAAGTTAGTCTATAAAAATTTTTATGTTAATCACTTCATTAATTTGGAGGAAAGTATTTGGGAATACTTTTGCTTGCTAATATAATTTTTCTCAATGCCAAATGATACAAATTGCATAATGTTCTCAGCTGACATGAAGTAAAAAGACTACATTGAATCTATTGCTAGATCTGCTGTTAAGAAAGTTGGTTCCCTGTATCGCTCAAGACAATTTTTCTCCCAAGAATCTATCTTAAATATCTATAAGTCTACCATTCATCCATGCTTAGAATATTGCTGCCAAATATTGTCCAGTGCCCCTGCTATTTACCTTGAGCTCCTTGGTAAAAGCCAAAGAAGAATCACCAAAATTATTGGTCCTGATATTATGGCTCAGCTTCAGTCACTTTCCCACTGGTGCAAGGTTTCCTCTCTGTGCCTTTTCTATAAATACTTTTATGGTTATTCTATATAATGAGCTCTTTACTATGGTACCTAGACTTTTTTTTTAATTTAAGCTCATTACTAGACTGGTGTCAAGACCTCAACAATTTACAGTTGAGCTGGCTAGATGTAACCATAAGTTGTATGCTAACTGTAATATTCCAGCAACAGAAGGGAGATAACCCATAGAGACACAAGAGTTAGGTCCCCTCCAGACATCCGGTGAATCTTAATCAGCAGCTTAGCAGCAAGAGGAAATAGGAGGCTACCATCACCAGAGGGACAAACAACAACCATCCTAACATCCTAGCAAGGCATTAATCGGCGCCTAGCAAGTATCGATAGCCTCTTGCGCAGAACATTACATTGGCGACGAGGACTGAGTCGTTACCCTCACAAAAACAGAACATCAACACACTTAAAAAAAAAAAAAAAAAAATTCAACACGTGTTCGATATATAACCAATATGGCCGCCGTTCCACACTACCCCGAATTTGATTGTGAGTCAACAGCCAAAGCATCAAGATGGACAAAATACGTAAAAAGACTGAAAAACTATTTTGTCGCACGTAACATTGAGGATGACAAACGGCAAAAAGCAATCCTACTAACGTTTGTCGGCAAGGCTACGAATGACATCATCAACGAGATACCACAGGAGCGAGTCACACCGGAAAAAAATTAAATACATTTCGACAAGCTTGTCTCAGCGGTGCACAACCACTTCAACCCTGAAAACGACACGGAATACAACCGATTTGTGTTCCGGAAAATTAAACAAAATAGCCCAGGCATCGAAGACTTCTACCGCAAACTAAAGGAAGCTGCGTCTATGTGCCGTTTTTCTGACATGGATTCCGAGGTGAAGTCCCAACTAATTACAGGCTGCCTGTCAGAAAAAGTCCGCCAGAAGGGACTCATGAACTTGGATATGTCACTACATGACTTAATAAACTACGCAAGGACAACGGAGACGAAAGCGTCGCACCTACAAACAATGCGACTGGAAGACAACAACACCGCTACTGCTACAACCACCCCAATAAACAAAGTCGCGGACGAACAGCGCCGACCAAGCAACTATCCCCGGCAATACCAGTGCAGGAATTGCAACGGAAAATACCCTCATGAGTGGGGACCGACGTCTTGCCCGGCATTTCATACCCAGTGCACATACTGCAGAAGGTGGGGACACTTCACCTCTGCCTGTTTCAGAAGATTAAACGACGGAAACAGACAACGGGAAACAAATCGTCCCCCACGAACACAGACCAATCGACGCTCAGTGAACCGCATTGAAAACGACCAACGGAACCCACATAGCAGTGGTAGTGATACAGAATACGTGTTCCACACAGCTGGAGCTCGGAACTTGCCACCTCCAATTGAAATGGATACTCCAGCAAACAAGAGTTCATCTTTATTTTTGGGGCTTCCCAACCAAATAAAAGGGCAACTTGATGAACAATCACAAACTCTCCACAAAATCAATTCCACAGTCCAGAAACTTGAAGCTGAAAACGCTCTTTATAAACAAGAATTGATGACCGCCCACACCAATATTCGCCAGTTATCATCTCTTTTGGATAACGAACGACGAAAATCCCATTTGTCTTTGGAGAGACACCTCATCCAAATGCAAGAAATGCTGTGCACAGAAATGAAGGGCATGTCACATGAAATAAATGAATTGAAGCTTAAATGTTGTCAACAGAATTTTCCTGCCACTCCTTCATCAACTTATCCACAAACTGCTTCTAGCAGTTTCCAACAAAGTAAGAGATTGTCACAAAATGCAATATATTTGCGTCCTCAAAATGATGTTTATGAAGACGCTCTCAAGTTTTATCAAAAAGTTAAGAAACGTCCAACAACAGTTGCTTCAACAGATTTTCAAAATCCATTGTACTCCTCTTCAAATGTCCAACAGATGTCAACAAAATGTAAGTCGGCACCTTGTCCACAACCATCTGTGCCAGAGCCACAAGTCATGTCTCCCCTCAACTCCATCCAGAAAATGCTACACCTTAGACAGTCACGCAAGAAAATTAATAACAAAACCTCTAGAACTGATGCCAGCCGTTCGAAAATGTCCAACACTTCATCTGACCAAGACCTTGATTCTTCCCCAAACCAGAACATAACTATTTCTTCCACTCAGAATCTCACATTGCAGGGTGATGAAGAAGATCTTCATTCTGATGATTCCAATTTTGATTTGCTTGATTCTCGCAGCTTTGGAAAGTCCGAAGATGGCTTGGAAAGTAGCTCATCTGAAGATTTGGCTTTAGAATGGCTGTGGCCGGACCAAAAAAAAAAACCCTCTCAAAAAAAAAAAAAAAAAAAAAAAAAAAAAAGAAAGCATTGTAATATAATTGGACAAGGTTACAGGAATACTTTCAGCTTATCCTTGAGATGGATGTTTTAACCTTGTAAATACCAGCAGATTGTTCTATGACTGGAATTTCTTAACTGAACATAGCAAGTGAAAATAGTCCAAAAAGATCTTACCTTTATTTGCACCAGCCATCCATCTTAGTTGTCGATTGTCAGAAACTTCTCTTCCAATTAGATATGGGAATATTCGCACCTGTCATGTAAATGGAAAGGGGAAAGACAAAAAAAGGAAAAAAGTAAGCATGAATAAAAAGATATTATATAATACATTTTTTTGATACTGGTTTATCAAAACTGCAGGTCAAACAACAATAATAATGAGGACCTGTGAAAATTTAATGGCTTCCTAATTTGAATTTTCTGATGAATTCTTCTTTTATATGTTGTGTTCCTTCAGGACACAGGCAATCATGGCTCTCCATATCTTCCTGTCCCTTGTAGCTCTTAATAAGTTTTGTCTTTTTGTTATTTCTTCCAAACCCTCCTGCTCAAGCCCATTAAGTATATTATGCACTGCTCTCCTCTGTCCCTCTATCTGTCCTGTTAGTATAAAATTTTCCAAGACATCCTACTTCATTACATGCCCCACAGATTTCAAGTGTCTCTTCCTGATGTTAAGTACAATTTTCCTTTTTTTTATTCCCTCCAAAACCTCATTGTTGCTCACATGTTTGGCCCATGGTATTATCAGTATCTTTCTGTTGCTCCAAGTCTCATCTTCGTCTTTGAGGAGGTTGTTCAGCATTCACTGCCATACAAGAAGACAGATATCATGTAACAGTTCAGTATTCTTTCCTTTGCTTCTAATGAAATTTTTCTGTCTCTTAATACTCTGCTTAGCTTGTGGAATGCATCTTTGGCCATCCAAATACATCTTTGGATCTCAGTGTTTCACTTTTCAACCTCTGTTAGAGCACTTCCCAGATATTTAAATTTCTGTACCTGCTTGATTTTAGTATCTCTGGCCTGTAATTTGCATTTTGGGCTCATCTTTTTTGCTGATGGCCATGCATTCTATCTTCTTGTAGCTTATGCTTAGTCCCGCCTTCTCGCTCTCCTTTGCTACCTTATGTAGGAGGTTTTGTAGCTTCCTTTTCATGTGTCTGCTATCAGCACTGTGTCATCTGCATGTCCTATATTGTTAAGATCATAGCTGCAAAAATGGATCCTGGTATAACTTCTAATTCTCTCAGAACTGCCTTGCTGTATAGGTTGAATAAATCCAGTGAATTTCTAATTTAATGATTAAGGTCTTTGTGATTTCCAAAAAATATACATAAATTCCCATACCTCTTCATATTGTAGTAATAATTAAGGTGTGAATGCAGGTCTTTATTTCAAGAAGAGGTTACAAGTAAAAGGATTAAAAATTGTCAAGGTTTTACATTTCACTGATGCAAATGTTAAATACATGTAAGTGTTATCACTTATTCTATCTTCTCTCTCTCTCTCTTTCTTTCTATTATTATGTATGCTTTCTTTTTCTCACTAAAACCAAACAGCATCTTTTTCTTTCATCATTCCTAACAATTAAAATGGAATGGTCCATTATCTATTGGAGGTAATGGCAGAGTGTAAACACATGCTAACTTACTAAATAATGTAGAAACAAGTAAAATTATAATATAATAATGATAATAAACCCAATCTAGGCTAGAAGACCAGATCTGTTATCTGTAAGCAAAAAGAAGAAAACCTGCCTGAAAGCATACTTTGATTTTATCAGTTGACGACATTGTAGGTCTAAAAGAAAATGTATACCTAACTTAATATCTTGACCTTGCCCGAGGGCAGAGAAAGTCCTTAAAATTAAAGTGACAGTAGTACCAGTTACTATCAGAGCACTGGAAACAGTTTCAAAAAGAAAAGCAGGAGGAACTGGAAATTAAGGGAAATGTTGGAATCATCCACATAACAGTTTTGTTGAATACTAGAACCACAAGTTAATGTGTGAACAAACAACAAGTAAAAATAAAAACAACAAAAAATTTTACACAAATATGAGGGTGGATCTATAAGACAGTTATTGATCTAAAATGTTCATTGTATAATGTTCAATCTACATGATGAATAGATAATCAATGGGTTAAATGCATTGAGAAGAAAGTTGAAGTTGAAAAATAAATGTTTATCATTATTCAATGGACTTGTTGATGTCCCTATGTATATATCTAATAGTAAAGATTTTAAAATATTTTTGTATTGAATATTGCTACCATATTTGGTCTGGTGTTTCTGTTATGTATTTAGAGATTCTTGAAAAAATCTAAAGAAAAATCTGCAATGTTATTGGTCCTGACCTAGCATTCTGGCTTCACTCACTTTTCCACTGTCGTACTGTAGCTTCCCTGTGCCTTTTCCATAAATATTTTCATGGTAATTGTTCCAATGAACTTTCCTCTTTGATAAACTGACTTCACAAATTCATACTCAGTACTACATTGGCAGTTAGGTCTCATCATTTTACAGTTGAAAAGGCTAGATTTAATGATAAGTTCTATGCTCATAGTTTCTTCTCTCACAACTCTATATCTACTTCCATGGAAACTTTGGTCTGGTTTGTTTTACGGCATATCAACCTCAATGGGTTATTTAATGCCAACAACATTTTTATTACTGGTAATATTTTTTTTTCAAAAATGTATTGCTGGTAATAATTTTTTCTTCAAAAATTTACTGCTGGTAATAATTTTTTACAAAATATTTTGGGTATTAAAACCTATTTTTACACTTTCATAGTGTTTTGATCCCAGTTTGGGGGTTAACTATTTATCCATAGCTGGGACCCTAATAGGTGCTACCACCCCATATCAGAGTGGACCTGGGAATACCAGCAATTAAAAGGTGGTTCCATGCTCCTCAAAACCTTCTGATCAGAGGCCTGCTGTTGGATGTAGTTTACTGTCTTACCCAGGATACAGATGTAGTTTATCGTCATACCCAGGACAGTCCATGGAAAGTGCTCGGACAAATTGCATTCCTTGGTTCTGACAGTTATAACTTCCATGACTAGGACCCTCCTTGTCACTCACATTATAGCAAACCACCCTTGTTTCTGCTGTATTCTACTGGTGAGAAGTAAGTTCCATTCAAGCAGTTTCTTCCTGTGAACCACTACTCTGTGAAATCAACTTTCAAGAGGATTTTTCCCTAATCATTACAATTTTAAACTGTTCAAATCTAGGGTTAATGATTATCTCCCCCGCATACCTGCATAAACTGTGCCTCTTAATCTGTAACACTCTACTTCCAGTAACTTGCTGTGTGTTAGTAAGTAACTTGTTGCTTGTAGAACTCTCTTCTGGCTTCTTGCTTTCCAAATTTGCTCTTCAAAAATTTAAATGCAATCTCGATCATTATTTTCTGTTCTCTTTATTCTTGTACTTTTAGAGTTCTCTCTTTGATAATGTTTCACATTTAGTAACCCATTATGTCTTAGTGGCTTTATTGCCTTACTTGGAGTGAAATGATTATAGTAGAAAATACTAGTTCCCTGGTACCAGAGAAAGATAACAGCAGTATTAAAGTCATTTTGTAGTTGTATCAGGCATATTTTTGACATGGCTGATTGAGGACTTTCATCTGTAGAATTAACTCAGCCTTTTCAATCATTAAATGTAAAAAAGTCCCTAAAGAAACTCCACACAAAACAAAAGAAATAAAATATATTAGCAACCTGATTTCTTCTACTTACTAATACATAGCATGTTAGATTATTTACATTAAGTAATGTCTCTTTGTTACCATAACAATAAAATATCTAATTATTGAAAATAGCGGAGACATGGATAATGCCAGATTATGGGCTCATTCCCAGAAACTGTAACTAAGGTCTGCTCTGTGCAGTGTAGTTGCAGTCTAAACCACAGATGTTGGTTGAGCAAGTGTCTGTAATTGTGATATGGTAGCTGTCCCTCTAGATGGGTGCATTCAGAAGTGAGTATATATATATATATATATATATATGTGTGTGTGTGTGTGTAACTCTCTTCTGGGCCCATGCTGTTTCCAGACAACTTTGATCTCCAAAAATTTAAATGCAGCTACTGTACTCTTGATTACTTTTCTATTGTTCTTGCTCCTTAATAATGTTACTCTTGTTTTTCTCCTTTCACACTCAGTAACCCCCTAATGTTTTAGTGACTCTACTGCCTTGCTTGTGGCTAAATAATTATATATATATATATATATATATATATATATATATATACATATAATACCAGTCAAGAGTACAATTTATTCAAATGGATTGAAAGCTTGTTCTCCACCTAGTAAAACTAATATAAGAAAATGTACTGATAGATATAAACTTATATATCCTGTATGATATATTTGTTGGTTAAAATTCTCAATATCAGCAATAGAGCCTATATAAATATAAAAGTGGTTACTGAGGTCAACGCCAAGTGATGACAGTCTGTTTTATGCTTGAATGTAATCTCCAGGCCTATATATATATATATATATATATATATATATATATATATAAAAAATAGTGTTCTGTTATTATTTATTATTTTATTTATTCATTTTTGTAAATTTTTGAAAATATATATATGTTATAATGAATTCATTTTTTGATTGTATAACTAACAGATTTTCCATTGATTTGGTCAGAGGTGAGTCAGCTAATGAACATGTCTGTGAATTATGAATGGATTCTCGAATGGAAGACTTGATATTAACACAAACAGAATAGACTGAAATTATGTATTGCTGCTATTGAATTTCAATATATTCATTAGTTTCTTTCTGACCACAATTTGAGATGCCAATAATTTTACAATTACTTTTGATAAGAAAATTTTGTAACAATAATCCATGAAAGAAATAATTTTAAGCATGGAAACTTTTTAAGCAAATATTTTATATCAGAAAACAATGGCATAGTAAAAAATTGATTGACTAGCAAGAAAATGTAAACAGAGAGAAAAGATGCAGAATATTTAGAACACTGACTAAATCTTCCTGGAAAGTGTTTCAATAAACAATGGAAATCCAAAGGTGCATTGGAATACCAAAAGATGTCATCTAAAAGCTAAACAAAGTATTAAGAAACAAAAAAAAATTCACTAGAAACAAAAAGAGTATTGAACTTCTATATAATATCAATCCTCCTATATGACAGTGAATGCTGGACAATTTCCTTACAGATGAAGAGGAGATGAGGCAACCAAGATGTGGCTCTATGGA